GGGTGGGGGGAGGACCAGGGAGGATGATTCAACCACTYGATGTCGCTGAAAACAAATAATCCTACACACTGTGCCTTTAAGTAAAAGTCATAAAATTGTTCACAAAAATTGGTAAAGTAGTAGTAAAAGTACTTTTCCACGCTCTCTAACAAATAAACTGTTAAATTTACTGAACCAAACTGGCTCCACAAAACCAAGTTGATAAAAGATAAAATATGTATTCGCATCAAATTTGCTCTACTAGGTTTAGAGGAAGTAGTTGTGACTTAGTTGAGTAAATTCAACACTTAATTTTTTTGAGCACCTTTCATGATGAGTTCAGACAGTTTTAATTTATAACAAGTAACTATTACATTTAAAGAAGTAAAAGTATCATTTTTAGGTTTTAAAAGTAACTAAGTAAAAGTCACTATTTTAAAAAATACTTGGTAAAACTACAAATCCTCATAAAAATACTGAAGTACTGTAACAAAGTAAATGTACTTAGTTACTATAAACCTCTGACTACATTTTAGCTTGATAGCTCTAAAACTTACAGTATTTTTCATTTTTGGCTTCATCTCTCAGCATCAGTAGCTCTAAAACTGAGTTATAGACAATTTAAATTAGATGTGGTGGCCTGACTGACTTGTTTTAAAGATTTATTAAAGATTACTGTCAGCTGGTATTATACCAACTTTCAGCTTTATGTGTCTGAAACTGTTTCTCAAATGACCATTAGCCATCAGATTAAAATTGAGTTTCACTTTCAAAAAGTCTTGTGGATTGCTAACACCAAAGTTCAGCTTAATATTTCTAAAAACGACTGAGTTATAGCTAGTTTAAATTAGCTTTAGGGGTTAGCTTTATTTGGGACCAGCAGTTCAATTCAGTTTATTTAAATAGCACCAAGTCACAACAACAGATGTGTCAGGGCGCTGTACGTAAAAAACTAAATGTAAAGAAGCAGCAGACTGCGTAGTCTTTGCTTCGTCACAGTCTCATCCTGAGCAGCACACCTGCAGCAGCAGAGAGGAAAAACTCCCTGCTGATCAGGAAGAAACCTCCAGCAGAACCAGGCTCAGGACAGGAGACCGGCTGGGTTTGGGGAAACGTCATGTTTGGATCAGTCTTTAGGCCCTGCAGTGCACACTGTAACCTTTTACACAACTTAGGAGAATTTTTAAGATGTCTACATTGAAGATGAAATTTTAAAAAACTGAAGCCTTGTTTAGGCGTGTATGTACTGTAATGCTAACAAACTGATCAAATATATAACTTTTATTAGTAATTTCAACATAAACTGTATAAGTTGGCATGAGTTGTCTAAAGTGTTTTAGTGTGACAGGATCTTTAGCTACACCAAAACTAATTTCAGATTAATGTCTTAAAAAGGCTGAATTATAGTCATTTAAAGTAAGCTGTGGTAGCCATCTTGGATTTCTGATTAGAATTTAGAATATGGTAAAGATTTTGTTCAGCTACTACTACACCAATTTTCTGTTTTGTTTTGCTAAAAACGGCTGAATTAAAGCTCTTTGTAAAATTAGCATTAGCCGTTAGCTTGAAATTGTGACTAGCATTCAGCACGTTATTTTTTGATCAGCTCAATATAAAACATCTGAATTAAAGTTGTTTGAAGTTGGCTGTGAACACCTGAAATGTTTAAATCCAGGGTTATTTACTTTATTTATGTGCCCACCGGGGCCACCCCTTTAAAAACAAAGCTCCGCCCCTGCCCGGAGGGAGACCCTCTGCATCCTTCTGCTGATGTGTACTTTCCAATAAACATTTCTTCAAGTGGAGTTATTTCTGTATTATTTTCTAATGAATATTTATTTATGCCATCTCCTGTTTTATTTGTATTTACTTGGTATTACTCTGTAGAAATCTGATTTCACCTTTAAAGTTTTTTATATATTAGTTTTGTAAAGGCAGACAATGCATTGATCATGACTGATTTGTGGCTGAAATAAAAACAGAAAACATCCCAGGAGGTGGACAGTTTTTATGAGCAGTGAGAAAGTGCTGTGTCAGCGAAATCAGAAAGCTTAAAGTCGTCTCTCACTCCCTGACAGTCGGCGGGTAGAAACAAGGAGTCAGACCTAACAGCAGCAGACTGATGGTCAGACGTGTTTATTTATGTTTCTACCTGTTTTAAGAAGATCTCACTTCCTGTTTTAAAGAGGCTTTAGTGTTCAACCTGTTGGAGCCTGGCTGGGACCTGCCTGCTGACACAGAAGAAGACATCCTGTAACAAACACAGCTGTGGGACTAACACACGGTCTGGAAAAGGCAGCTCAGAAATGAGTGACATCATCAGAAAGCTTCAGACTTCAGGTGGGACTGTGTGAAACCTGTTTTCTTGTGCTGTCACTTTGTAAAGCTGCTACCAAACATCCAGATGTTCTCTGTTTAACACCTGGGCCTTTCATGGAAACACCACATAACTTCTACATGTTTGGTCCTCCTGGAGCTTGGATCATTCACCTCCTCCTCCATGGTGGACCCAGCCTGGTTACAGAGGATCTCCACCAACAAAGCTGTGTTTGAAGTGTGAAACTACAGCGGGTCACAGGAACAGAACCGGGCCGAAACAGATGGAAAGCAGAACTTTAAATAAGAAATGAGATCAAACTGAAAGGAGCTGGTCACGTCTGTCTTCTTCACGGCTTCTTGTCTTCTTCAGCTGCTTCTGTCTGGATGTTCTCCAGCAGACTGTGCTTCTCCTCCTCCGGCATCAGACTGACCGGGTCCAGATCAAACATGTGCCTACAGAGCAGAGAGCAGGTTAGACAGACCACCTGACACAGACCACCTGACACAGACCACCTGACACAGACCACCTGACACAGACCACCTGACAAAGACCACCTGACAAAGACCACCTGACACAGACCACATGGTGTTCTGGTGTTCTGATGTTCTGATGTTCTGACGTTCTGGTGTTCTGATGTTCTGACGTTCTGGTGTTCTGATGTTCTGACGTTCTGGTGTTCTGACGTTCTGGTGTTCTGATGTTCTGGTGTTCTGGTGCTCTGGTGTACTGGTGTTCTGACGTTCTGGTGTTCTGGTGTTCTGGTGTTCTGACGTTCTGGTGTTCTGACGTTCTGGTGTTCTGACGTTCCGGTGTTCTGATGTTCTGGTGTTCTGATGTTCTGGTGTTCTGACGTTCTGGTGTTCTGATGTTCTGATGTTCTGATGTTCTGACGTTCTGGTGTTCTGATGTTCTGGTGTTCTGACGTTCTGGTGTTCTGACGTTCTGGTGTTCTGATGTTCTGGTGTTGACGTTCTGGTGTTCTGACGTTCTGGTGTTCTGACGTTCTGATGTTCTGACGCTCTGGTGTACTGGTGCTCTGGTGTACTGGTGTTCTGACGTTCTGGTGTTCTGGTGCTCTGGTGTACTGGTGTTCTGACGTTCTGGTGTTCTGATGTTCTGACGTTCTGGTGTTCTGACGTTCTGGTGTTCTGGTGCTCTGGTGTTCTGACGTTCTGGTGTTCTGACGTTCTGGTGTTCTGGTGTTCTGACGTTCTGGTGTTCTGACGTTCTGGTGTTCTGGTGTTCTGGTGTTCTGACGTTCTGGTGTTCTGACGTTCTGGTGTTCTGGTGTTCTGACGTTCTGGTGTTCTGACGTTCTGGTGTTCTGGTGTTCTGGTGTTCTGGTGTTCTGGTGTTCTGATGTTCTGGTGTTCTGACGTTCTGGTGTTCTGGTGTTCTGACGTTCTGGTGTTCTGACGTTCTGGTGTTCTGGTGTTCTGGTGTTCTGATGTTCTGGTGTTCTGATGTTCTGGTGTTCTGACGTTCTGGTGTTCTGGTGTTCTGACGTTCTGGTGTTCTGACGTTCTGGTGTTCTGATGTTCTGGTGTTCTGACGTTCTGACGTTCTGGTGCTCTGACGTTCTGGTGTTCTGATGTTCTGGTGTTCTGATGTTCTGATGTTCTGACGTTCTGGTGTTCTGATGTTCTGGTGTTCTGAAGCTCTGGTGTTCTGACGTTCTGGTGTTCTGATGTTCTGGTGTTCTGATGTTCTGGTGTTCTGACGTTCTGGTGTTCTGACGTTCTGGTGTTCTGGTGTTCTGATGTTCTGGTGTTCTGATGTTCTGGTGTTCTGACGTTCTGGTGTTCTGGTGTTCTGATGTTCTGGTGTTCTGATGTTCTGGTGTTCTGACGTTCTGGTGTTCTGGTGTTCTGAC